ACCCAGGCCATTCTATGATTCTATTTCATGAAAAACAGACACTGAGGAGGAAAGGTCCAGAGAGACTGTGGTCAGAAGGAGGGCTTCAGCAAGTAAGAGATTTGTGTGAGGCTGAAGATGACATAGGAACTGACATACTTTTCCCAATCTGTTGTGAGAAGACTCGGGCTGATATGCAGCCTCTTCACACAAGCACCACATTTCCCCGTATACTAATTTTTTTTCTGGATTTTTGTAAGTAAGAGCTCAACAGGTTTATTTACGGACCGCCCTTAAAAGCATGCCCCATTAGACAGAAACAGTGAAATGAGGCAGAAACAGTTTGTAGAAGAACAGGGAACAGAAAACATCTATCTGAAGTCACAGGATGGTCCAGAGTTAAGGCTACTGTTTTTCCTGGGTGCCACCAACATAAACAGGCAGCAGCAGCTTCGTAAAACACATTGCAGAAATAAACACAACTTTCCTTTCCATCCCCAAAAACTGAAACACACATCACAGTATCAAGAATGAAAATAAAAGAGAGGCAGCAAATGAGCATTTTTCATTAGTAATATGAGCTACTACACCCAAAGTTGAATTTCCTGATGGTACAAAACCTATTTCACAGACACCATCAGGGGTCATTTTCAAACTGCTGACTTGGATCAAAAATAAATCAGTTCTTGGGATAAAAACATTACATCTATCTTCTAAGCCATTCAGAGAACCATGTCTAGTCTCTTCTAAAGCCCAGGTCAATAAAACTCAGTGACATAAGAGCAACACAAAAAATACAAATCTAGTGTTTGAGCCATTATTTCCTACAGGGGAAACAACAATGCTGTAAATCCAATATCAGTACTATTCTTCTTAACCAAGTTAGAGATTAAAAGCACAATGCATTTTCCAGCTCATGCTAACAGGTAGGATAGTGTGATTTACTTAATTGCCCATTTCTTGCCTTTTTGCAAGGCCCCAGAATTTGACTTCTGCTGAGTTCATGGGCAGAAATTGGTGCCTGTTATATCTCAGTCTATATATGTCGTTCTATGCCATATTTTGTCCGTCCAAAAATCTGCATGAATGCCATTTCTGGAGCTCTACTGCTGTGCCTGGCTGACTCCTGCCCTAGTACAAGTCACCTGGAGGAAGGGCTTAAATTAAGGAAGCAGTAACTGTAAACAAACATTTATGTAACAAGAAGCTATATTTAGGCTAAGAGGATATGGACTTCTACATAGACAAAGTACTGAACAGCTCCTCTTACAGTTAACATTCAAAGATAAAACCAAGATGATTGTTATTCTGCCATCTAGTGAAGCATAAGTTGCATGACTTACAAATCTATTTTTCTACTGTAAAGAGAACCATTTTTATCAGGAGACCTTTTTTAAAGCAACTTCTTACCCATCACTCTCTGTTGAGTAGACTACAGGCAATCTGTTCTCCACTTCTATTCCCAGATCTTGCTGAACAGTTTCAAGATTCCGTTCAAAAGTGTCCACGCTACCAATATTAAACCAGACGTACTGCTATAAAAAAAGTAGAGATCACCACAAAGTGTCCTATCTTATTTCAGCTCCATTACAAGACATCTTCCTGTAACACATATGCAAGCAGTTCTCAGAACAGATTTAGACCAAGTTTAAGTTGCTTTGTAAAGTGTGTAACTGATCTAAGATGCACCTAATAAATCTAAGGCCTACCAACCTGAATACATTATATCTGTCAATGCTTCTAAAGAAATCATACACTCAATAGTTTGGGGGCACTTTAAATAGACTGAAATCCTGGCATTTTCTCCAGGATCAAACAGAAGGAGCGTAGGTAAACAGATCTTTAGAAGGGAGCTATGCAGTCAGAATAATACAGAGCACTGAACCAGCAAACACAGCAGCCATACAACTTACTGTTTCACCTGAAAGTCTCAGCCTTTCTGATTAAGTAAAGCAATTCTCTACTTCTGAAGTCCATATTAGCTTTAAAGTTAGCTGTCTTCACAAAAGACAGCATGAACTTTTATCATACACTGGGAAAAAAAATCCAGACATTACTTTCAAACAGTGTTGTTGAGATTTGGTTTTTCAAGAAAATCTCTCCTTTTGCACTACAACCAGTCTGACTTGCCCCTTGCCCCTACTTATCCTAATACCGAAAAGAGAGAAAAGAAAAAAAAAAAAAAAAAAAAAGAGGAGTTCTAAGTATTAACTGATTGAGAAACTAAGGGAACTGGTGGTATGTGGGCTAAAGAGTAGGTGTATAAGTAAGTCACACTGAAACTCACTGATGAAGTAATTGCTGCAGATGTCACTTTACCCCAGAGGCACTTGCAGACCTTGTTTCAGAAAGTCAGTTAAAAAAAATGCCACCACCAAGGAAGAGGTAATCTGATAAAGCTTCTCTAATGCTTTTTCTAAATTTTCTACATTGTGTATGAGATTTTTTTTATTTTTTAAGTAGGTCCCTGCCACTGAGTATTTTTATTCTTTTGAGAACTTTTGCCTGCATCAGACTGTTCCTCACCGTGCTACTAGAAAAGTAACTCTCTGAAATAAGTACTTCTCTCAAGAATGAGAGCGCTCAGCTTCATTTTAAAGACTAGCATCAAATGGAGACAAAGGTAAACATTTCTCTCAGTTTTTGAAATAACTGGCTAAAAGCAGTCTAGAACAGAAGAGATACAAAAGTAAGTGCAGTTAAGTCTGGGATTTTCTTAAGCAAATGGAAAGCAGCAGTTAGAAATACAGAACCTTCATCAATTTCTCACTCTTCCTGTTTGTGTATTTGTATTAAGAGCATGGTGCTGGAAAGGAACTACTTGCCATAGTTTTAAGATATCTGTGGCAAAACAATTGGTACAGTAAAGTCAAAAACACAGAATGAAGGATAATCCATATCATCATTAATATCATTAATAATAATTAAGGCAATTAATTATATTAATTAATATTAATTATATTATTATTAATAGTAATGAATAATAATGAAGGTAAGACACAAAACATGATTTAGATTAAGAGATTATTAATGCTCCAGACCAAGTTTTCTGCATCAAACTTTACTTAAAAAGATTGGTTTGCTGTTTTTAATGTCTCATGTATATGTATTAAAAACGTTTACCCATTCATGAGGAGACTTTCCTGAAACAAAGATCACTCTAACAAAGCGCTTGTTCACCACTTCAAGTCTGTCCACCTGTAGGAGAAAAGAACAAAATTTGTGAGGTGTTTAGAGTGTACAGTCACCGCACTTCCATCACAGTCAACAGCTACATATACCAAATATGAACCTGTTCTGTTTTCCAGTAAAAAGAATAAAATTAATGTTGTAGATCAGGACGGTTCCACAATCTAGAGTTTGCCATTAGGAATGGCCTGAGGAATCATGTATGTAATCAGTAAGCAAAGAATATTGGCATATTAGAATTCAGATTCAAAGGATGAGCTCATGCTCTTTTTTTAAGGAAAAAAACCCAATGCACACCTCAGTTCAAACCACAGGTACAGTGACATAGTTAAGCAATATTTAACTATTTCAATGGTCAAACCCAAAAGCAATATACCACACAACTCCAAACTTTTGTAGCAGCTTCCAAAAAAAACCCAAAAAGAACAGAATGAGGGAAAACTTAACATTGCTCTTATAGTTGTTTTCCCTACTAGAAAAGATTTCCTATGATAACATATTAAACACAATAACATCAATTAGATAAAGAAGAATTTAGTTGAGGTAACAGACACCATATAAATTAAAATCAAGAATTGAGCTGCAGGTTTACAGATATATTAAGCATTTATTTTTTTGATAAAAGAATTCTCAAAGTGTTGGTTTCTTGAATTTGACAGGACCTCTTCAGAAGGCAACTGAAGTTTCTTTCCATTTTTCTTCCTCTTTCCGTAAAATAACAGGTTTCAGCATCTTAAAAGAATTTAAAACTTGCCATGGTTCTACAAGTTGGGTCTGAACTGTACACAGACCAGTAAGGTTTCCCTGAACTCACTATATGTGGCTATTTCTGGCAGAACTGAAGGAAAACATGAGCTAAGAAGCCACTCTAGATGCAGTCTGACTTCATGTAAAACTACCTGAACATCTTTGTTTTGAAAAGCACGTAACCTCAGTAGTGCTGACATCTTCTCCCTATTAACTGGCCACCAGTATGGCAACCAACAGCATTTGATGGCTACATATTTAGCTTATCTGAATATCCAGACTACATCTTACAAAGGCCCAAGAGACTTGGTTTTGTGCAACAGCCCACTTTCATAATGCTTTTCTGCAACAAGGGTTCAGGCTTCCTTCACCCATAACAGCTAAAATATTTTTACTGAGCTAGTGTCTTACTGCTTCACAACAAATACCATCAATAAGGTTTTTTTAACAAGATGCACACATAATTGTCAATTAAGAACAGGCCTGTAAGACGTAGTCTAGGCAGAAGGGGAGAAGTGTACAGAGCAGCTGTGCATAGATGAGTAAGACAAAGAAAGGTAGGAAACAACCTGTTTAGCAGTTTACAGAAGTAATGGAGGGGTAGGAAGCATGCTGTTAACACAAAATGCCAGGTCAGAAATCTTGAGGAGGAAGCAAGCCAATGTTTTCCTAACCTGCAGGTGAAGCTACAAACAGGGAAGTAACCGAACTAAGAACTAGTAGCTCGTGAAGTGGAAAAGGCCTGTGTAAAACACTCAAATCTCCTTAACTTCAGGGCATCACCAACTTATTATTCCAAGCATGGAAAGCTGCCAAGTTCTACAGAGAGATACTATAGCAATGATAAAATTGATTGCTCCAGTAATGGCTTCAGGTAAGAAGGAAAGAAGAAATACGAGAGGAGAAAACAAATAAAAGAGGTTATTTTACAACACAGTTATGCCAATTTACTGTCCTTGAAGGGATTCTTTGATTCCTCACCCCGCCTTCCTGTTCACACTGGTGCTGAAACAAGCAGAAAACTCTTTTTTTTCTTCAGGAGAGTGGACTTGTGGAAGTACTTAAGGTTAGGATTAAGTTTCTTCCAAAGGCAGCTGGCATGTCTGCTTAAGCCATTAGGTCAGTTTACCTGTACTATAAAACCACACCCTGAAAGACTGTGGTTACACTGCCTCTTCAAACCAGCATCTACATGAGATATCCAAGAAAGAACTTCTGTCCTGAGCTGGCCATTCCTTTTCCTCTCTTTCAATAACACAAATCTTCACACAGCCATCCTGAACATCAGGTCAATGAACTGATTAAGATGAAGGCTAATCCCTTTCTCCCTCAAAAGTTACTTGAGCCAGTCCTCACTCCACAGATACATGAACACAAGCACAATTGAGGAGGCAGAAACAAGCATCTTCAGCACACTGATTTTCCATTTTGATTCCCCTCCCTACTCACCACTCCTTTAGAAAGGTAGTTATTGACAAAGTCTTTCCAGGTAATTTCTCTTCCAGGGACCCTGAAGAAGAAGTAATATACAACCATCGTCCAGAAAAATGAGCTTCCCACTACATACATCCGAAATTCCCTGACGTCCCATGGAATGTCACCCTAGGAAATGGAGAAAAGAGGTCTTAGAGTCTGTAATACAGTAAGTATATGACAAACAGGTTTTAATATCTATTTCCGGCTTCTATTCCCTGCCCTCAAGGTTACCACTGAGAAGGTCAAACAAAGCTGTATCTTCTTGTATGGACATACTTCAGTAACTTCAGATATAACTGAGGAATTACAACATTAGGAGAAAAATATTTTAAGTGTTTTACAAATAGTAAATGAACAGTTTTGATCTTTTGCCATATGCTAGATGACCTTTCTCTCTCCATTCCAAAACAACTTTCCCTGCCTTCCAGGGCTACATGCAAAACTTACAAGAATAAAGGAAAAAAACCTAATAGGAAAAACCCAGGAATAAGGGGAAAAAAGTTATACCCATGAAGTAAAATAGAAAAATATTCTTTATATTCTTATACTGCCAAATGCTATCACATTTGTGCTCCAGGTAATGACAACAAATATAAATTTTGAGAAGAAACTTATGCAGGTATTCCATTAAGGTCAGAACAGCTAACAGGAAACTACATTTAACTAGCATTGTGTGGTCAGCAAATTTTACAAACTGACATTCTGAAACAAAACACAAAGCCTTTAAAGGCCTGAGACTCCTCTATAAGAATACTTACTACTAGCAGACATATTCATATAGCTTAAAACTCCATTAACATTCCTGAACCAGAGTTAGATGTCTCTGAAGGTATATACAAAACAGTTATTTACGAAAGGCACTGAGTGGGGAGCCACCTAGAGCCAGTTACTATGAAATACTAGGCACAGGAGGCTTAAGGAAAATATAGGTGATCAGAAAACAGCCCTAAAAAGCAAAAAACACACAAGGGTATTTAATGAGGACAAGACAGTTAGTACCATAGAGAAAGATATTTTATATTTAAGACCTTCTGTAATCTGGTCCACCAGTTAGTTTCTTCTTTCTTGCCACCTTTTTTTCCACCACTGCCACCTCCTCCACTGCTAGTCCCACTAGGCTGTCGGGCACTAGCTTGCTTTGCTTCTAACAAAAATAAGACATAACAAAAATAATATCTTTACATCTTATACCAATCTCATGCTATTTTTCTTAGTTTTAAAATTAAAGATTTGTTCTGAAAAATTTGCTAGTTTGCAACGTTATGATAATTAGAGGATAGGAGAAACTGTGTTTTCCACAGAAAAACACATGCATAGTCCATTAACTGGCAGAGAGACATCTATATCATACAGTTATGATCAGAAGAGAGGTCTGTTAATTGTGTAACTGACCACAGTTGGACACCAAAAGCTCAAAAATGCCCCAAATTACAGAAAAAAGCATGTTATGTAGACTGCATGGAACATATTTCTACTGTAGCAATCCAAGACGTGCAAGAATATTCTAAGCATGGTGGTGTTTTGTGGGAGGTTTTTTTACTGTTTGTTGCTGGCTTTTTGTTTAGTATTGGGTTTTTTTTAAAAAAAAAAACCATCACAAAGCTCTAACATCTCCTTGTCCTATAATTCGCCCCTGTAATCATACTATGCTCCTCTTGATGTTTAGGATTTATCAACAGCACAGATTACAGTCCTGTTGAATATTCTAGAGACAAGCACAGCACAGTAACAGCCAACTACAGACAAGGAGTTTATCTTAATCATTCTTCTACTCATGCAACTCACAAGGTACCTGCACGGCATAGTGTAATGTCATATGCCAAGGTACACAAGAAGGTAAGAGAGAGCACAATATTAATGTGTGCTTCTTCCAACCCTAGCCCCTTCATGAGCTTGGCAGTTTAGGCATCTCTCCATGCCACTAGATTTTACTATTCAAGGCCTAGTCAAAGGAAAATTGCTGCTCTTATTACTGCTCTCAGACTCACAGGATTGTAGCCTCGCTGTCTGCTTGGCAGATGTGTTATACAGAATTCTGATAAGACAGAGTGGCTGTTACTGCTAATAATTTTCAGATTCACACACCACACCCCACCTTTGTAAAGACAGGGCTCCTTCTAGCATTGCCACTACTAACTCCTCTTTCAAGCAAAAGGCTTCGTGGTTGGTCCTGGCTAAAGAGCTGGTTCTGGAACCCCACCCAGCATGACAACTGTGGTTATTCCATACCACAAAATGGGTATTTTAGCTTGCCCTAGGAAAAGCTGAGAACTATATACATAGAGAATCTCTGAATGCATGACTAATGTCAACTTATAGGGGACAGTAAAATAAGAATTCAAGGACTATATTCCAACAGAAATGGAAGAGAAAATAAATACTGTTCCAGAAGATGTACATGATATAAAAGCAAAATAACACTTAAAAAAACCCCAGCACTTTTAATTAATCTGGTACAGAAACATCTTCCCTTAAAAAATAAACAGAAAACCCAAACCCAGAAGGTTATGCTAAAATCTAATCTAATGAATACACACCCAAAAAAACCCCAACTGAAATAAGCAGCTTTTTGTACCTTTTGTTTCTCCAGCTGTACCTTTAGTTCCATTAGCTTTCTTCCCATTAGGAAAATATTTTTCAAATCCTATTTTAAAAAAAGTTAAAGAGTTCATAATTTTTTTTTTATTTGCAATTCTATCATTACACTTCAATAATCACAAGCTGAATGTATACAAAAGCAAAGCAGCTAGCAACATATAGACTTCAAAAATGGTTTTGTTCTTGTCTTTTTGTTAAAGAAATCTACCAGGTGCCCCTAAATAAATCTACTACTGTTGACAAAAAAAAAAATCAGATGTATTTAATAACCCAAAGTTATCCTTTAAACCACAAATAGTCAAGCTTAGTTCAACAGAAAATTACACTGCAGAACGTGAAGTTGAGCAAACCACAGTCATTCTTCAATAGCTCCTAAAAATCCCATAAATCAATGTTCCATCTCAAGATTAATGGCTGGTTAGTAAAAGAACTTACTGCCCCACAGACAATAAACCTAAATGGCACATAAGTGCAGTCCTCAGCAAGGAATGCAGTCTGCTTCACTTCACTTATCAAAGTTATAATCACCTTTGGGAGGTTGAGAGAAAAGCCTTCTGCAAGCAGCAATTACACTTGCCAAGACAGTACTTCTGTCAGTAGTAACTCCAGTGGTAACTTTTTCACGAAGCTGAAAGATGAAAAATAAATATAAAGCAACAAGAAGGTGCCACAAAAACCTTCAAGCTCTCTTGAAGTTCTGAACTGCAACAAGTCAGATATTATGACGTCTGTTGTAAAGTTCCAATAAAAACTGCTGTGGACCGGAGTTTAAGAGAACAACTCAATAGGGAAAAAAGTCAATCAAATGGGTACTTTCTAGAATGAGGAAGTTTTTATTCTATTTGTTATGAGCAGAGACACATCTTACAGACAAACATAACATTCTGTATTAAAAGAGAAAAATCAAGCAGGAAACACTGCAAGCATTAAATGCCTGTACACTAATCCTAGGGGAAATATTTCATAATACCAACTGAATGGTACTTATGTGCAACACTAACTACAACTGTATGAGCATGATCCACACAGTACTGAATTACTTTTTGTGAAAGAACTGCAACTTTTTCTAAACAGTTAAGAACCCATAACTTATGAATGTGAAAGACCTGCTTGAATCCAAAAGAAAGGGTATGTCAGACAGTGCTTACATCTAGCTAATAAACCAACACAGAGGAGGAGTGCCAATTCAAAAAAACATACCTAAACCCCTGTGTAGGTAAAGGGCCATCTAAAACAAAACAAAATTACAACAAAGTCAAGTCTATCACACCTTGAGCCAAAACTAATTGTTTACTGTTATTTACCATTTAAGTGCAAGAAAGGAAACAGAAATATTTTAAAACACTTACTCTTAAGAAAACATTTGGTATTATAACTGCATACTCAAAAACAGAGTAAACTGCAATTTTATTACAGGGAAATCAAACTTCCTTTCTTCAATAAGGACATATTTAAGATAAAATCCCAACTTATCCTCTTCCTAAGCTTTTCCAGTGCTGCTAAAAAGAAAAAAAATCATCCTATCAATGTTTCCCCCCAGCTGACTTTATTTCTGCTTCCATTCCCTTTTGCCCCATGGAGGCACTCAGTCTGCTTCTGCTCTTTTTGATTAGGAGCTACTTATCCGAAGAACCAAAGAAACAGTAAAAAAAACAAAACAAAACAAAAAAAACCAAAAACAACCCAAACAAAAAAACCCAAAACCAAAACAACAGGTCCTGGTCCTGGAAACATGACTGAAGGTAACCATGCAAGACAGCAAACATCTAGGACTAACACCTCTAGGACTACATCTGTGAAGGAAAGTTCAGTGTTGGCATCTCCACAACAATTTTGTTACAGTCAAAATACAATGGTTGTAGATAAAACCTATTTTTGCATATTAAACAAACTTGTAGGATACTAGATTACATGCTAAGACTACCCTAGGAATGCTGACATATCATTAATTGAATTCTAACTTTCCTGAAGCCTTCCCTCCACCCCTTACTAAACGATGAAATACATTAGATTTACTGCAAGCAGACATCTAGTTCCACCTGCTGGAACCAAGAGGAATACTGAAATATCCTTGTTGCTTGCTTTTACTGTAGACTGAGCTAAGAATTCTTAGGCTGCTTGATCCAGATGTTATTTTGGGCCACTGCATGTCTTTGAATAAAGTCTGATACTGAAAATCCAAGAGGATATTTTACTGATCATGAAAAGCACGTGCAGTTCAAATAAAAACAGGTAGTGAATGTTGCAGCAACAGATGAAACTCAAAGTCATGTCCAGTAATACTGGCTTCTCTTCTATGTCACTGGTCTCCTACCACACCAAAAAATTAGAGTTATTTATTCCACAAGCTCAGATTAGTTTTCAGTTCATAAAAAGATAGGAACATCAGAAACCTTCACTCCAACTAAAATCAAGCAACAGCTCGCATTTAAAAGAAAAGTTTGAGTAAGCCAAATCTAATTGTCTGCCTCGGCTAGACCAGCATGGGTTTATTACAGAATTAAGTTATAGTTTAATCAGGTGGGGAGAAGGGGAGAGGGAAAGAATGAGGGAGTGAAGGAGAGAGAGAAGGGTAAGCAGATAGAGCTTTGGGACAGACCTGAGTAACAGAACTTCTTTGTTGCTGGATTGTCTCTACAGATCTTAAATCCCATTAATAAATGCATAGTCACCTGTCAAGGTAATGTGCAGAGCGCTGGGTGTTTTAAAGTTGTTTTGTGAGAAAAGGGAACAACTGACGTCACAGCACATTCAGTAGATCACCTGACTGAGTCTGGGAGGCATGCTTTTACGCTACCAGCTGCTCCAGGTGAGTCCATCGACTGAAACACGCAGATTCCTTTCACCATAGCATACCACAAATGTACAAGTTGTTAGAACCAAGCTACACTGGCAACATCTGCTCGGGTTTGGGCTTTTGTTTTTATTGACTCTGTAAATCATCAGCATGAAAACTGATCAGATTGATCCCGATACAGGACCAGTCCCTGCATTGGCTGGCAATGGGAACACCAGAACAAACCTAGCTGATACAAGCACACCCACTGCCTAAGCAGAGGGAAAGCAAACAAAGCACATTTTGACTGGATGCTGTTTTGGGCTATCTTCCAGGAAACTCTGCCCAGCTTCCCTCAGTCAGAGATGAAAGAACTGTCACAGCACATAAAGCAAAAAAACCTGTCTATTTTTTTGGTTTTTGTTTGTTTTTTTGTTTTTTCAGGTAAACCTTGTGACACCTTCCTAAAAATAAAGACTTTTTAAAATAGAAGTACAAGATAAGCAAAGTACACAAAAGTCAGTCTTACAGTTAAAATAACCCAGAAAATGTTACTGCTCCAGAGCATAACATAAACCAAAGATCTATAACACCAAAGAAGTGTCCTCTCCATGATTCCAATATTAAATGAAAAAGGTAATTTTAAATAAGCAGAACTACTGATTTTACAAAAACTTTGTAACTGCAATCCAATTTTTAAAAACTGAGGTTATACAAAGCAGGAACAGAAAATACACTTGCTTAGCTATGTAAGCAAAAGATCAAGAATCCATTAATTCTAGAAAGTTACAAGTTTACAGCTTTATCCACGAACAAGTTCCAAATCAAACAAAATAAAATTAAGCCAAAAGTCTTAATTATCTAACAGTCACCAAAACATTAGATAAGAGCATGTAGAGGCGATGGGGACAAAAAGCTGGTAAGGAAATCTAACTTAATGCAAGCTACTTGGTTATTTTTAAAGAAAGATAAAAGTAATGGCTTTCATGAAAACTAAGTTCCTTGTTTTGCTACCTACACACTCACAGTTGCTACGACGAATGCAAAGTTGCCTTCATAGTTCCTATGTTCCATTCCAAATAAGAATTCATTAAATGTTACTGACAGAAATGAAATTTAGCTTCCTGACAGAAGAGAAGTACTGCTGACAACGTTTTATTTATTGTTGTAATGATGTTCAGCTCTGACCAAACAAAAACACAAATTCAACATTAAAATGAAAACACATATTTACACTTTGGACTAAGGTAGTAACATCCTTATGTGTATTCGTCTCACAATTGTCACTATCCTAATGATAACCTTCATAACTACAAGGGTGCAACTATTCTCTACGCTACAGAAAAATGAGGCAACTTGCCCAAGATGCCATTAAAAGATGCAGGAATTAAGCATCTTCCTTTGCCCAAGCAGCAGCACAGGCCTGTCAGTCGCCTGATATGTTAACAACAAGGGTAACATATCTTATAATAGCTGATGGTCTAAACCATTTTACTAAGAATTATGATTGATGTTAATACTACAGTAGCAGGTTCAAATCCACACCACTATAGCTCCGTGCAATCCCAGAATGCAAACAACCGACCGCCTGCCTTCTCTTTTCCAGCACGTTACCGCTGTACTCACTGCCAACCCCAATCTCCACACACATACTCAGCCCGCAGCACAGACGCCCCGTGCAGACAGCCACAAGCCCACCTACCGCGAACCACCACCCTGCACAAACAACGGAGGCACTTCTGAGTTGGGGGGGAACGCATCCCTTGAAAACACTCGAGAACCCGGCAATACCGGCGGGGTGCGGCAGCACCAGCTCCTCTCAACTGCCGTCTCACCCTCCTTCTCCAAGAAAGGCTCTCCTCCGGCCT